CCCAGGGCCTCATGCATTGCAAGGCAAGCGCTCTACCACTGAACCACCTTCCCAGCCCTTTAGTTTGTTTTTCAAGTAAGGTCTCTCCCTTTTGCCTGGTTCAGTCTTCTCCTCTTCCTCCTTCCCCTCCTCCTTCCCCTCCCCTCCCCTCCCCACCCTCCCCGCCTTTCTCTCTCTTTTTCTTTCTTTTCTTTTCTTCTTCTTTTTTTTTTTTTTTGGTCAGTCGTGGGGCTTGAACTCTGGGCCTGGGCGCTGTCCCTCAGCTCTTCAGCTCAAGGCAAGCGCTCTACCACTTGAGCTACAGCGCCACTTCCTCTTTTCTGGTGGTTTATTGGAGATAAGAGTCTCACGGTCTCTCCTGCCCGGGCTGGCTTTGAACCGCGATCCTCAGATCTCAGCCTCCTGAGTAGCTAGGATTACAGGCGTGAGCCACCAGCACCCGGCTTCTTTTCTTCTTTCCTTCCTTTCTTTTCTTTCCTTCCCTTCCCTCCCTCCTTTCTCTTTCTTTCTTTCTTTCTTCCCTCACTTCCCTTCCCTTCCCCTCCCTCCCCCCTCTCTCTTTCTTTCTTTCCCTTTCTTTCTTTCTTTCTTTCTTTTTTTGCTTATGGGTGCTGAGGAATTGAACCCAGGGCCTCAAGCATTCAAGGCAAGCGCTTTACCACTGAGCCACCTTCCCAGCCCCCTTTCTTTCTTTCTTTCTTTCCTTCCTTCCTTTCTTCTTTCTTTCTTTGCCAATCCTGGAGTTTGAACTCAGGGCCTGTACTTTTTTGCTCAAGGCTGGCATTTGAACCACATCTCCATTTCCAGCTTTTTGGTGGTTAATTGGAGATAAGAGTCGCACAGACTTTCCTGCCCTGGCTGGCTTTGAACCAAGATTCTCAGATCTCAGCCTCTTGAGTAACTAGGATTCCGGCATGAGCTACAGGCATTGCCAGGGTCAGTCTTAAATTTTGCTCTTCCTATTGCTATATCCTAAGGATATGAGATTACAGCTATGCACCACCACACCCAGTCCGATTCTGAGATTCGATCTTGCTACCTTTCTTTCCACAGTGGCCTAAGGATGGAGTGTACCTCAGCCTCCTGAGTAGCTGGGTGTGGTGCTGTTCTGGGGGTGCGGTGCTATTCTCTCTCCTCCTGTGGCTATAACGAAACACCACTGTGTGGGTAATTTATAAAGAATAGAGGTTTTTTTTCCCAAGCATATGGTTCTGGAGGCTGTGTAGGTCAAGAACCTGGGCTGGGCTTGTGACCTTGCAGTGCGCACTAGCTTGGCAGAGGGCACCCGTGGGCCCCTCCTGCCGCCCTGCGGGAGGCCTGGAGAAGAGCAGGCTCCTCCCCGGCGGCTGGGAGGCCCACTCCGTCCTGGGCATGCCTGCCCCAGCCTGGGAGGACACCCTGTGCTTTGGGTAAAGGTCACCCCTGCACCTCGGATGGCCCCCCTGGGCTCTGCCCTCAGCCCCTGGGAGGGGGGTGAGGCCCAGAGCCAGGGGCTCTGCAGAGCCTGGCTGCACAGGCCAGGCCCCCACTCAAGGTGGGCCCAGCAGAGAGAGTGGGGGGGTGTCCCTGGCCGCTGGGCCGGGCAGGGCTGCAGAGGGTGGGGCACGCTCCTCCCCACTCCCCGCTTCTGGGCAGCTGAGGTGATTTTTTTTTTTCCCCTTCTGCCGCTGAATTTCTCGAGCTGGATAAATAAGCAGCAGGTTCCAACGACAACGAAACGGGAGCTCAGCTGCCCTGAGCCACACAAAAGCTGCTTTCAGCAGCGGAGCCTCCCGCCTGGCCCGGGTGGCTGGGGCTCCCCAAACCCAGCCAGGCTGCCCTGGGCCTCCATGAGGCCCAGCCCAGCCGGGGATCCAGCCTGCCCCACCGGGGGCTGCCCACCACACTCGGCCTTGCTCCCACAGTGCCCCGCTCTGATCCCAGTACCTTTGCAAAGGCTGGTCCCCTACCCAGAGCACCCTTCCTTCTCTCCCCGCTGGCTCCCATGTGGCTTTGAGATTCAGCCCAGCTCAGACTTCTCTCACTCCCTGCTCTGCTCTCCTGGCAGACAGCAACAGCTGGCCTCTGAGAGCCAGGGTCCCCAGTGCCATGGCGGGGAGGGGGCTGGACTCCCCTGCCCAGCACAGGGTATGTGCTCAATTAAAGGCTTAGTATTAACAACTCAGATGAAGCCATTTGTGGTGACTTATGCCTGCAATCCCAGCTACTGTCAAAGGGAATATGGGAAAACTGCAGTAGGAGACCAACCAGATCAGGCAAGACTCTTATTTAAAACAAACAAACAACAAACAAACAAAAACCCCAAGCTCAAACCTGTAATCCTACTACATAGGAGGCTGCATTCTGAGGATCATGGTATAAAGCCAGCCTGGGCACAAAAGTCTGTGAAATACCAATTAACCACCAGAAAACCAGAAATGAAGCTGTGGCTCAAATGTGAGAGTGCCAGCCTTGAGTGAGAAAGCTCAGGGGCACCACTCAGGCCTTGAGTTCAAGCCCCAGTACTGGCAGGTCCACCCCCCCCCACACACACATGTATGTCTGGGCATAACAGTACATATCTATAGACCCAGCTATGTCAGCCCCAGGCAGACTCAAGATCCTATCTGAAAAACAACTTCAGTAGAAAGGCTGGGGGCATGCATGGCTCAAGCAGTAACATGCTCATGAAGCAAGCTTCCGTATTGCCTCAATATTGCCCCCTCTGGAAAAAAAAATAGCCCAGATTTATGTGGGACTCAGCAGTCTTCTGTGGAGGGCAGCCTTGCTGTTCAGAGAGGAAATACCTGGAGCTTCACAGGCTGTGCTCTCCCCAACAATGGTGCAGATCTACCACTGTTGCTTGAAGTCAGCTATGCACTGTGGACTATAAACCAACGGGCATGAACATGGCTGTGTTCCAATAAAACTTTATTTGCAGTAACAAGCAGTGGGCCAGAGCGGATCTGATGGCTACAGATGAAGATGGATGAAGATGCATACATTGCTGCTGTGTCTGTGTGGGACAGCCACACAGATCATATTCCACCTGCCCTCCCTCCCCACTCTCCCTAGCCCCACCCCCTCAAGGGTGAGTGGTGCCCTGTGTCAGCTCTGATACTGATGCCTCCACCCCTCCTGGTGCCCCTTTCCCCAGGAGCCTGTCCAGAGGGGAGAAGTTGGACAATTTATAACTTGCCCAGACTACTGAAACCACACGGGGTTGAGAACACCTGTTTGCCCATCTACTCAGGAGGCCAGATTCACATTGGAGACCAGCCTGGGCAGTCAGCAAGACTATCTCAGAAAGGAAATCCAAACAAGAGGGCTGGGAGTGGGAAGCCCAGGAGAATCCCCGATTCCCCAATCCGACATTCCTTCTCCACTGCAGGCGTTTATGGTAACCTATCCCAAACCAGGTGCCAAGACCCTGATGTGGAGGTGGGGGCCTGGTGCAGACCCACCTCCCAGGTCCCCTAGGCTCCTGGAAAGATGGGCATCAGCAGGAGTGGGGGGCATCAGTATCAGAGCTGACTCTTGAGGGGGTGGGGCTAAGAAGGGAGGGTGGGAAGGGAGGATAGGAGGAATGCAGGGCAGAAGGGTGTCCTCCCCCCTCCCCCATTGTCCCCAGGAAAAGCTGGCATCTTGCAGGAAGGAGGAGCCAAGAGGCTCCTGGTGGGGGGTGGGCATTGATGAGACCTCCTCCCGTCCCGGTCCTCATAGTGTCCCTTTCAGAGAAAACCCGGGGCATTGTTGGCCTTTGTAAAGCCGAGATCCAGTGACAAAGCCCGGTGGGTGGGCAGACGGCCCAAGAGGCCTCTTCTCTCCTCAGCGCGGGGCACGGCTGCTCCTCCGGCTCCGGCTTCCCAGGAGCCAGCGGTTGCCTTAGCGACAGGGCTGGCATCCCACGGTCCTGGGGCACCCTCCCCTCCTCGGCTGCTACACAGAGCCCCCTGCTCCTCCTCACCCAGGAGCCAGGCAGGAACCCACAAAACCCTGGCTCCCAGGCCAGTCCTTGTGGGACATCCTGGCAGCCCAGACGCTCCCCCCCCCCTGCCCCAGACACCCCGATGGCCGGTAGGGTGGGGGCTCAGGAAATGGAGCTGAACCTCACTGTCATCCATGCTGCTCCAGCCAGTGCGGCCATCCACAATCAGCTAGCAGCTGCTAGAATTAGGAATGAAAGATGGATGGACAGACAGATGAATGGATGGATGGACCAGGGGTGTGGGCAAGGACCCTGGGCCCCCAAGCAAAGCCTGCAGCTCTATCCAGAGCTGCACAAGTCTCAGGCCTTCCCTGAGATAGTGTGAGGGAGAAACAAGAAGGGAGAGGCCACCAGGGCTTCCAGCCTCGGGTTCCAGAGGAGGGGGCAGGGAAGGGGGTTCCTCACCAGGGCTGTGTGATGGGGAGCTGCTGCTGGTATTTTGAAAGCTGTACTTAAAGTTGATGAGTTTTTTTTGGTGGTTTTTAAAAAATGTTTTTGTTTTTTGCCTGTGATTGTGTGTGTGTACCTGCACACACACATATACACACGCACACACACACATCTGTCCTGGTGCTCCAACTCTGGGCCTAGGCACTGTCCCTTAGCTTTTTCTCTCTAGGTTTGGTACTCTACTACTTGACTCACAATCCCACTTGTGGCTTTTTGCTGGTTAATTGGACTTAAGCGTCTCACAGACCTTCCTGCCTGAGCTGGATTCAATGGACCCTTGATCTTCACAGCTCAGCCTCCTGAGTAGCTGGGATTATAGGCATGAGTCACAGGCTCCCACTAAACTGGATTGTTTTTTTTTCCAAAGGGGCCACACCCTTGCCCTCCCTTCCTTTCCTTGGGAAGCTGGAGTCTCACAGCTGCTGGTACCCCAGCAGAGCAAGCCTAGCCTAGGGCTGTGCATCACCCCCAGCCTCTCCCTTCAGACAAGAGGGCTGGGCACAGGCCAGGGGCGGCATCTGCCTGCCTTTGTCCCTTCTGGCTCCAGTACAATTGTAAGGGGTGCTGAGCACTAACGAAAGGCATGTGTGGGAACCACAGCTCCACTTTCTCACCACACCACCATGGCTGCACCAAGCTGCACAGCGGGCAGCTGTGGGCTTCGCTGGGCAGCCACACCTGGGCAGGCTCCCTTGGGATGGGTGGCACCGTCTCTCCGCTGGCCTCAGAGGTATCTTGTTTTCTGAGTCTCACAACTGTCCTGGAAGGTGGATGCAGGACTGACTTAGGATGGTTCTCGGAGTTGGAAGATGAAGGGGCAGCACCTCGCTGGGGACCCCCGTGGCTCTGAGCGCACTTGCGCAGTGCCTGATCCTCTGTCACTCAGTCATTTAGGTCCCTGAGCACTGGCTGTAGAGCCTGACCCTGGGCTGGGGGGCGGGGGATGAGGTGGACAGGTGGATAGTGGGGATAGTCTGTAAGAGATCCCAGAACGGCGTGGCCCTGAGTTTCATAAACAGAGGCATCAGGAGCAATGGCAGGTTTGGAGCAGATCTCAGTGGGCTCCCGAGCCCCTATAGAGGGTGGCCCGTGACTGGAGTACCACAGTCACAAATGCAGAATTTGTGAACCTGTGCCCTGGAGTACGTCACTCTTTGAGCCTCAGTTTCCCCACCTGGGAAAGAGGACCAGATATCCTGAGATCCACACCAGGGCATGGGAGGCTTGGAGAGGAGTCCGAAGTCATATGTGTCCAGTGCAGAGGCCCAAGCTGTACTTGAACTGTCTCTGGGTCCCAAGCTGGGCCCTTCCCCTGCGAGGTCTTGCCCATGATCTTTTGCAGCAAGAAAGTATGAGGAATGGTCCTGCAGACAGACCACCGTCGCGGGGAAAGGGTGGGACGTAGGGGAAGGGGAGGAACCTCGGGGAAAAGCGAGGCGAGGGCTCAAAGGGCAGGCGTGTCCCAAGCGCTCCGGCCCTTGGGGCGGCCCGAGCTCCTCGGCGAGACTCGGCGCCTTTAACTCCGGGCGAGGGCGTGTCCTGGTGAGTCCCCGCCCCCGGGCGTGTCCCCTAGCCACGCCCCCGGGCTTGTAGCCGCGGCACGGGCCCAGCGCAGCGGGCT